TTAATGGTTGAATGATAGTTTGATTGCATATATTGTGTAAGATGTATTTGACAAGATTGAAAATGATGTAATTATGGAACGTTATCAAAATATGCGATCACGTAGACAACAGTTGTAATAAAATATCTTTTACTTTCATTTTTTCGTCTTTTTTTGAAAGTTTGATTGTGCCCCCTATTTAAGAAGTCCGCGTCCGCCCCTGACTCCAATTTATAGTTTACATAAAAAAGAAATAACCTTTTGGAATTTTCTTATGTTTATTTGGAATCGAAAACTTATCTTGTTATATTTCGGTTAACACTGTCAATTAAAGTCTGTAAATGAAGCATATAAGTTGGTGATAAGAGAAAAGGGCTACAAAATTTTAGCGACTTTAATTGGGATTTATGGATTAGGGAAGTAACTAAGGTCTTATGCCATTTTTTTTTTCAATTGCAAATGTTGGGATTTATGGATTAGGGAAGTAACTAAGGTCTTATGCCTTTTTTTTTTCAATTGCAAATGTTAGGAACATGTTTTATGACATCCTGTGAAAATTGATGGGATCTATTGGACACGTGAGTGCCAGTTGAATGGTTTTCCTACTGGTTTTCTTTTGTTCAGTTTTTACGACATAACTCAGCTTCGTTTCCCAATTTTTTCCAGTTGAACTTGGTCCTGTCCAATTTTTATGACATTGATCAAACATAACTCTTCGACTTATGATGTACATCACAAATAATTCTTAGCTCCTGTTTGTCACCCCTTATTTTACATTCTACCACATTCTTTTTTCTATAGTACTCATTTTAAATCACACATTCTTCATTAAAATAATATTACACGCAAATCAAAAGCTTTTCCTTCATTTTTAACCATACATTCTCCATCAATTTACTATTCCGTAATACATTTTTCAAAATTAAAGGGGCTCAAACACACACTTAATAATAATGTCTTAAACAAGATTATTAAATTGGCCAACACTATTTTTAATTATCCTTGACTTTTTTATATTTATTTTTTCTTTATCATAACTTTCTTGAAGTTAAAAATTGAGGTCTTCTTAATGGACATATAAATTACAGGAGAGATGCTAGTGGTACATCGCCACTAACATCGGGGTGTCCATAATGGACACCTGGCACTACATCATTGGAGAGAGGGTCAGTGGGGTCGGCACTCCCTCCAATGAGGGGGCACCGGGTGTCCATAATGGACACCCTTATATTAGTGGTGATGTACCACTATCATAATTCAAATTACAAAGCCCTGCTACAAGTACAGATAAAGGGGTAGGGCTTCGACTACAATGAGTGGCCTGTAATGTCCCTAAACACGAGGAAATTACACCAAACCATG